AGCTGAATGGATAAGAAATCATGAGCCACACATATGCTGCATACCAGAGACCCAACTCAGGACAAAAGATCATCACAGATTAAAAGTGAGTAACTGGAAACAAATTTTCCAAATAAGCAGACATGCACACATAAAAAGCCAGGGCAGAAATACTCACTTCAGAATAAATAGACCTAAAAAAAAGGGGGCCATAAAGAGAGACCCAGAAGGTCACTTCATAATACTCAAGGGACGAATCCACCAAGAAGATATAAACATTGTAAATATATATGCACCCATCATAGGAGCACCCAAATATATAAAGAAAATCTTAGAGGACTTCAAGAAAAATATTGACAGCAACACAATTATAGTAGGAAATTTTAACACCCCACTGTAAAAAATGGACAAAGCTTCCAAACAAAATATCAACAAAGATATTGTGGGATTGAGCAACACCCTAGATAAAATGGGTTTAACTGATATATATAGAGCCCGTCATCTCAAAGAAGCTAAATACACATTCTTTTCAAGTGGGCATGGAACATTTTCAAAGATAGGTCACATGATAGGACACAAAACAAGACTCAACAAATTCAAGTAAATTAAAATCATGCCAAACATTTTCTCTGACCACAAGTGACTGAAACTAGAAACCAACCCCAAGGGAAAAAACCCAAAACACTCAAAATCATAAAGATTGAATAGCATGCTATTAAACAATGCATGGGTCAAGAATGAAATTAGGAAAGAAATCAGAAGGTTTTCGGAAGCAAATAAAAATAACTCACAACAACCCAAAACTTATCGGACACAGAGAAGGCCATCCTGAGAGGGAAGTTTATAGCAACACAGGCCTACCTAAAAAAGATAGAAACATTTCAAAGAAACAACCTAACCCTACACCTACAAGAATTCAAAAAACAACAACAAACACAGCCCAGAACAAGTAGAAGGAAGAAAATAACCATCATCAGAGCACAATTAAATGACATAGAGACTAAAAGCACAATTCTAAGGATCAATGAACCCAGGAGCTGGTTCTTTGAAAAGATAAACAAAACTGTCAAGCCTTTAAGCAAGCTCATCTAGAAGGAAAGAGAGAAGACCCAAATAAACAAAATGAGAAATGAAAGAGAAGAGATTACAAATGACACCACAGAAATACAAAGTGTTGTAAGAAAGTACTATGAAGAACTGTATGCCAAGAAATTTGAAAACCTACGTGAAATGGACAAATTTCCAGAAAAATATAATCTTCCAAAACTCAATGAAGAAGAAGCAGAAAGCCTGAACAGACCAATAACAGCAGAAGAAATTGAAGCAGTAATCAAAAAGCTCCAACACAGAAAAGCCCTGGAGTAGAGAGTTTCACAGGAGAATTCTACAAGGCATTTAAGGAAGAGATAACCCCTATTCTTCACAGAGTATTCCAAAAAATTCAAAATGATGGAAGACTCCCAAACTCTTTTATAAAGCCAGCATCATCCTAATCCCAAAATCAGATAAAGACACACAAAAAAGAAAGAAAACTTCAGGCTAATTTCATTCATGAACATAGACTCTAAAATCCTCAACAAAATATTGGCAAACAGCATCTAACAATACATTAAAAAGATCATATCCATGACCAAGTGGGATTCATCCCAGGGATGCAAGGATGGTTCAATATTTGCAAATCAGTAAATGTAATACATCACATAAGCAAAAGCTAAGACAAAAATCACATGATTATATCAATAGATGTGAAAAAAGCATTTGATAAGGTATAGCACCCATTTTAATAAAAACACTCAGCAAAGTGGAAATAGAGGGAGCATTTCTCAACATATTAAAGGACGTGTATTAGAGACCTACAGCCAACATCATACTCAGTGGGCAAAAACTAAAAGCTTTTCCAGTAAGATCAGGAACAGACAAGATTATCCACTTTCACCACTTCTACTCAATATAGTATTGGAAGTTTTAGCCACAGCAATCAGACAAGAAAAGGAAATGAAAGGCATCCAAATTGGAAAGGAGGAAACAAAAGTGTCACTGTGTGCAGATGACATGTTAGTGTACACAGAAAATCCTACAGACTCCTCCAAAAAACTGCTTGACTTAATAAATGAATTTGGCAAAACAGCAGGATACAAAGACGATATTCAGAAATCAAAGGCCTTTTTGTATACCAACAATGAAACAGCAGAAGCAGAAATCAAGGGAAAAATCCCATTCGATATATCAAAAAGAAAAATAAAATACCTAGGAATAAACCTAACCAAAGAGGTGAAAGACCTGTATGCAGTACACTATACAACACTGAAGAAAGAAATTAAGGAAGACACAAACAAATGGAAACATATATTGTATTCAAGGATTGGAAGAATTAACATCATCAAAATGTCCATACTACCCAAAGCAATTTACAGATTCAATGCAATACCCATTAAAGTACCAATGGCATATTTCACAGACATAGAACAAACACTTCAAAAAATATATGAATCCATAAATGACCCCCAATAGCAGCTGCAATTTTGAGAAGAAAAGCAAAGTAGGAGAAATCACAATACATGATACCAAACTGTATTATAAGGCCACTATAATCAAAACAGCCTAGTACTGGCATAAAAACAGGCACATAGACTAGTCACAGAACAGAGAACCCAGAAATAAACCCAAGTCTCTATGGCCAATTAATATTCTACAAAGGGGACAGCAACATGAAATGGAGTAAAGATATCCTCTTCAACAAATGGTGTTGGGAGAATTGAACAGCTACGTACAAAAAAATAAAATCCGAGCACTAACCTACACCATATACCAAAATAAAGTCAAGGTGAAATAAAGACTTAAATATAAGCCATGACACCATTAAAGTCACAGAGGAGAACATTGGCAGGAAAATCTCAGATATTTCACACAGCAACACTTTTACTGATATGTCCCCTAGAGCAAGGGGCATAAAGGAAAGAATAAACAAATGGCATCTCATCAAAATTAAAAGCTTCTGCAAGGTTAAAGAAAGTATTAAGATACAAAGAGAACCAACTGTATGGGGAAACATATTTGCCAATGACACCTCAGACAAGGGTTTAATCTCTAAAATATACAAGGAAGTTATACAACTCCACTCTAAGAAGACACACAACCCAATTAAAAAGTGGGCAAAAGACTTCAACAGATACTTCTCCAAGGTGGGCACACAAAGGATCCAGAGTCACATGAAAAGGTGCTCAATATCACTAGCCATCAGAGAGATGCAAATTAAAATCACAATAAGATACTACTTTACATGGGTCAGAATGGCCATCATAAACAAAGCAACAAACAAGTGTTGGAGAGGTTGTGGAGAAAAGGGGACCCTAGTGCTCTGTTGGTGGGATTGCAGACTGCTACTATGGAAAACAGTATGGAATTTTCTCAGAAAACTGGAAATGGGTCTTTTGATCTGGAAATTCCTCTGCTAGGCTTATATCCTAAGAACCTTGAAACACCAATCCAAAAGAACTTATGCACCCCAATGTTCACAGCGGTACAATTTACAATAGCCAAGTGCTGGAAGCAACCTAGGTGCCCATCAATAAATTAATGGATCCAAAAACTATGGTACATTTACACAATGGAATTCTATGCAGCAGAAAGAAAGAAGGAGCTCCTACCCTTTGCAACAACATGGATGGAACTGGAAAGCATTATGCTGAGTGAAACAAGCCAGCCATTGAAAGACAAATACCATATGATCTCACCTTCAACAGGAAGCTAAACAATAAAACAAACAAGCAAGCAGAATATAACCAAAGACCCTGAAACAGAGAACAGGCTGACAGGGACCAGAGGGGAGAGGGGAGGGAATTTTAGGGGAAAAGAGGAAGAAGAGTTTACAGAAGAAGTATAAAGGACACATGGAGAATAACTAAGGGGTATGGAAATGGGAAGGAGGTGGGGAGCCCTGAGGGGTTGAGTTGGGATGGGAGTAAAAGACAGGAAACTGGACTTGAACAATAATTAAAATAAATAATTTTTTTAAAAAGAAAAAGATAAAAAACATGTATAGTAAAATGACAGCAAACTCATAGTTATTAATAACCATGCCTAAAACAAAAACAAACCAACTACACAAACAATTAGAACTGGAACAGAACCATAGAAACGGACATCACATGGAGGGTTAGCAACAGGGGAGTGGGAGAAGGAGAGAGGAGGAATAGGTACAGAGAATAAGTAGCATAGATGGTAGGTAGAAAATAGACAAGGGAAGGGCAAGAACAGTATGGGAAATGTAAAAACTAAAGAACTTATGACACATGGACATGAACTAAAGGGGGGAGTTATGTGGATGGGAGAGGGTGTGCAGGGTGGAGGTGAGTGAAGGGGGAAAACGGGACCAGTGTAATAGCATAATCAATAAAATATATTAATAAAATAAAATAAATAAAATTATTTCAGTTAAATTATGGCTAAAATTGTTACGATGAGCTTATAGAAAATAATTCATGAATATGTATGTATTCATACATACATATATATTATATGTATATATAAATAATTTTTTAAAGATTTTATTTGTTTTTAGAGAGAGGGGAAGGGAGGGACAAAGACAGGGAGAGAAACATCAATGTGTGTTTACCTCTGTCATGCTCCCTACTGGGGACCTGGCCTGAAACCCAAGCATGTACCCTGACTGGACATCAAACCAGTGACCCTTTGGTTCGCAGGCCAGCACTCAATCCACTGAGCTACACCAGCCGGGCATAAATTTGTTTTTTTTTGGACAGAGTTCTGGAGAAGTGGTTCTCAAATAAAAGAGTATATCAGAACCACCTGAAGGGCTGGTTAAACATTTCTGGGCCTGGGGAAAGGGAAGATTTATAATCTGCTTTACTAACAAGTTCTCTGGTAATGTTGATTCTTCTAGGCTTGGAGACTACAGTTATTACAAACATTGCACTAGAGAAATGCCAGAGGTTTCTATTACACATAGATCCAAGTCTCATGGCTACATTAATATTTTTACAAATACAAAATGCCAAATGTAATATATTCTATGATTTATTTTATACTTTTCTGATCACTAAAATCTAAATAGAGGTTTTTCTTAGAGAAAAAAATAGAAAGAAAGAAAAGAGCAAGAGGTGAAAAAAAAAGCAGTGACAGGAATAACAGCTGGGAGCAGATGAGAGGATGCGTAAGCCCCATTCTAGGAAGAGCTGCACACATTTGCAGGGCACACCAAAAATGGCCCATGGAGCTGAACCTGGTGAAGACAGCAGTTAAGCCAAGGTTCAGGGAGTCCGTGGTTCATGGAGTTCAAGGTTCACATGGATTTTTTCCTGCTCTACCCCAGTGGGCTGCACTGTATGAAACAGGACCACACATTCCCCAAAGTGCACTGGACATGCCTCTTCCTTCAGGATCTTTAGGCCTCAGTACCCCGCTCTCTACACTTATGTGCACTCATTCACAAGCTTGTCCAGCACTTAGATACATTCAGTCACATTCACAAACAAAGAGTGCTTCTAATTTTAGGCTCCATCATGGACTCAGTTTCCAATGCCAGGGCCAAAGTGTATGGCTCAGTCTCCTTAGCTGACTGACATAGGCCCACTTTAAAGGCAGGGAGACCTAAGAACTCAGCCAAGGAGGAACTGCATTCTGTACCCCACTCGTGTAAGAAAAAATTTATTGACTAACTGGAACTGCCTGGTCTCATTAGGAAGGTTCAGGTGCTGATCCTGAAATTCTATCCAGTTCTGCTTCACTCTGCAATAACCAGCTGATAAGAAAGCAGAGTGCTAGGAGGACAGTCCCTAGGAGGTCCCCTAGCCCTGTGAGGTAGGGGATACAGTGGTTGTCAGGATCCAGGGCCTGATGCCATGTCAGCCGAGCCATCACTTCTGCCAGGTACAGCAGGATTGTCACCTGTCATAAAAGCAGGCAGACACAAAAGACAAAGACCAAGTCAGAAAGTCAAGTGTCACTAAGGAACAGTATCAGATTTTAAGGGCAGACACCGATATGGACACATTAACCCCAGGTACTTCCCCTTCCCCGAGCTTCTCTTGGGGTCTGACACCCAGCTATGAGCTCACGCAGGGGCCAAAGAAGTTCACTCTCTTCCATTCTTGCCTAGCCTCCCTCCCGGTAGTTGGGCCCTGCTCCTAGCATGCTGAAGAGTCAGACAGACCTGCTGCTACTCCTTAGCTTTCATCTTCTCTGATGCATCAGCTCCACTCAACATCCCAGAACCTTAGACACAAAAATTGCTCAGACTTGTTTGGGTTTTCTGGAGACCCTCGCATGGGCAGTTTTGGATGGCTGGCCTTTCCTGAAGGTGCTATGGGGTAGTTCACATAGCCCTGGTCAGGTCTCGGGGCTTCTCAGTCTCTTGTTGTAGGCTGATCCAAGCACCTCTCTGCTGCTTCTCAGAACAGTTTCTCAGACTGCCCTAGCCTATTCTTCAGGGTCAGAGGCATGCTGTGACTACAAATGCTACATATCAAGGATTTGAAAATGCTAGTCCCTTAGAATTGCCCAACAATGCCCACAGTAATACCTGCAGAGGCCCCAGGCCCACAGGAAAACCAACCAGCTTGGCAGAGTTTGCTGTGTCCTTAATCTCTGAGGCAGGTACCAGTAGGCACCAGCTTAATCTTTCATGTCCTTATCACCATCCAGCACTGACTAAAGTCCACACATGCCTTTTAGAAACACCCCAGCAGAGATGTGGTCCCTGCCCACCTCCTGTCGGTGTGGCGTGATGCACATGGGCCAGTTTATCAGCAGGATCTTGCTCCATGGTAACATTCTGCATTTTCAGGATGGTTCTTCTGATCCTCTGGTGAGAAGTGAGCTGTATGCAATAAGAACTGTGCCTTGTGAAGGGTGGACTAATGAGTGTACTGTGTGGATGGTGGCCTATGCAGTGTGCAACATGGAGTATGCTATGTGGAGTGTGTAGTATGGAGTATCCAGTATGGAGTGTGAAGTGGCCTCTGGGTCTGGATCATGCCCTTGGCCTTGAACAAGTTAACCTGATGGGAACTGTGCCCTGCATGTCCAGGAACACCCAACTCCACCTCCTTAGCATCTCTCTCAGGACAGGGAACAACAAAGCTTGCTAGCTGCCTAACCACTGAATGCTGCTTTGCTGCTACAACAGCTGTCCTTACCTGGATCAGGCCTGCTAGCAGATAGAATGCCACAAAGATCTTGCTGTTTGGGACCGAATGGCCTTCCACCAGGTAGATAACATAGAAGAAAATCAGATGGCCCGGAATCACCAGAAAGATCAGAACTCGAGCTGACATGGAATTGATTTCTGGAATAAACAGGACCAAGGAGGTTGTGTGACTTACCTGACAGCAGAGGCCACTTACAAATGTGACAGTTTAATAAGGCATCCACATTCATCCACTATTTCCTGAATGTGCCAAAGGGTAGTTTCCACAGCCCTGGTGGACTATGTTGCAGGCATGTTTCTGTAGATGGGAATATAGTCCCATCCCTTCCCTAATGGAGCTGAAACTTTTAAGAGAAGAGAGAAAAACTGGAATTGAGCAGCAGAAACAAACAAGAAAGGTCATTTCAAAATGGGACAAGTACTAGGAAGAAAATAAGCCAGGGTAATGTGATAGAAAAGAGCTACTGGAGATAGCTCTCTCAAGGAGATACTCTCTCAAGGGGATGACATTTAAGCTAAATTCTGACTCTGGGGGGAAAATATTATGGTCAGAAGAAAGAGAATGTGCAAGGAGCTCAAGGTGGGAAGACCCTGAGAGTATTGAAAAACAAAAGCTCAGCACGTGGAGTTAAGTGATCGGGGAGGGTGGTGCACTCATTGGGCCTTTGGCACATTGGTGGGTGAGAGTGATCACTGCTCTCTTCAGGATTTAGCACTCTATGAGTTTGAGACTCTGAAAGAAATGTGATTTACCTTGCCCATCTCTTTAAAACTGTAACACATGTATATATGTTTTTCAAACATGAAGAGTTTCAATGAAAAGTAAGTCTCCATTTGCTTATGAGTTAATATAATGTATTTTATTAGCCTCATAAGGAAAAGGAAAAAAATAATATGTAGCTTAGAAGCTGAAAAGTCTACTATAAAATAATATACAGAGAAAGAATGGAAACACACAAGAGCACCAAAATCTATTTAGGATGACAAATTAGACAAGGTGTAGAAAAATTAGACAAGTTGCAAAAAACTTAGAGTAAGCAAAATAACTATTATTACCAGCTGGCATAAAAACCAAGAAAATTTATACAAAGCCACACAAAAAAATATAACCAAAGACACTGAAATAGACAGGTGGACAGGGACAAGAGGGGAGAGGGGAGGGAATTTCAGGGGAAAAGGGGAAGGATTCACAGGAACAAGTATAAAGGACACATGTCCAAAAACTAAGGGGAATGGAAATGAGAGGGAGGTGGGAGCACTGGGGGGTTAGGCTGGGATGGGAGTAAAAGACAGAAAACTGTACTTGAACAATAATTAAATTTTTTAAATGTTTAAAAAAAGAATTTAGCAAGTATTTAGGTGATTCTACAGAGTTTCCACCCAAAACCCATGTTGTAACCTAACTCACAATGTGATAATATTTAGAGGTGGGGTCTTTGTAAAGTAATTAGGTCCTGATGGTAGAATCCTCATGAACAGGATTCATGCCCATATAAGAGAGACCCAAGAACATGCTCTCACCCTTTCAACCCCATAAGGACACAGTGAGATGACAGCTGTCTATAAATCAGGAAGCAGACCCTCAACAGACATGGGTCTGCTAGTGCTTTGAGCTTGGACTTTCAGCCACCAGAACTATAAAAAAATAAATTTCTGTTTATTGTTTTATGTTTCTGTTATAGCAGCCTGAACTGAGACAAGTATCTAAATAATAGAGAAAGTAGCTTTTTATCTCTTTCCAGCAATCAAGATGTCGAAGAGAGGACGTGGTGGGCCCTCTGTTGCAAAATTCTGGATTTCCCTTGGTCTTCTGGTAGGAACAGTGATCAACTATGCTGACAACCCAGGAACCAAATATCTGTATATCACCTCCGTGAAGGAGGTCAAGGGATGACTGAACAGGCCTCCTGCTGCTGGTATGGGTGACATGGCAATGGCCACCATCAAAAAAGGCAAACCAGAGCTCAAAAAGAAGGTACATCCAGCAGTAGTAATTTGACAACAAAAGTCATACTGGAGAAAAGACTGTGTGTTTCTTTCCTTTGAAGACAATGCAGGGGTCACAGCAAACAATACAGGTGAAATGAAAGGTTCTGCCATTACATGACAAGTTGCTAAGGAGTGTGCAGATTTGTGGCCCAGGATTGCAACCAATGCTGCCAGCACTGAATGATTCTCTAGTGTATTTGTAAAGAAAAAAAACATTAAAAATTATTTCTTCCCCCCCAAAAGGAAAGTACATACTTTTTCTATATACAAATGGAAGTCAAATTATAATAGTGATTTCCATTCTAGACAAGATGAAACAGACACACTTATTCCTATTCTTACTAAATACAACTAAAAACCCTGGCCATTATATAAAAACAAACATAAGAAGATTCTGAAAGGTGGGGGAAAAAAGGCAAGCTGCCTAGGGAACTCAGGGTCCAAGGAACAATATGGCATTGTTCCCCAAATTGGTTTTTTTTTTTTTGGCCTCATATACCTGAGACTGGATGCTGGAGAATTCAGTTACCAATGGGCACTGACCAAAAAGACTCAACAGAAGTTTGCTTTCTATAGCACAAGGTCCAGAAAAGGGGCAGCCTAGCAAAACAGAAATTCTTAGACAATAACCACTTTATTCAAGCCAAATACCACAGCAGCCCCACCTCTATCAGCAAAGGCCAAGTGAGTAGAGCCTGGACTTGTCTCTGCCCTGATCCAGATGGAATGTTAGTATTCACACCTTTTGAATGAAGTCATATAAGAGAAGGCAGAGTAATAGAAAATAAGTGGTACTCTGCCTAGTGGTAAAGAAGACTCCTTGCCACACACTCACCATATCAGTGAAGGCCATGTGGGAGCAATAATAAGGCATCCCTCTACCTCCCAGCAAAAGTTGTGTCAGGGGAACATGGATTCTTACCCTACTAGGGTAAGGAGGTGCTCCTTTTCCCTTAGGGCATCACTGGAGAAGGCCACGGAATCTGGACTTTCACTCCTGCCTTGTAGAAAGGAAAAGCAATGCATTCCTTTCCCCCAAGTATCGCATAAGATCCAGAGTCTTATAACATAATACTTCAAATGTCTGTGATTCAATGTAAAAGCACTCATTACAGCAAGAAATATTTCAAGTAAATGAGAAAAGACAACTAACAGACACTAACACTAAGATGACACAAATGGCAGATGTATGTGGAAGTGATTTTAAAGAATCCATCTTTAAAATGTAATTTTAATATTGTAATAACTATATATGGTGACAAGTGTTACTAGGTTTATCACGGTGATAGCAATTACAAACACACATGAAACACATGGTAAAAATAGAAAAATCTCAGAAGAGATAAAAAAGAACCATATGGAAATTTGAGAACTATATTTAAAAAAATACAATAGCCAAAAAATCCAAACGACTCAATGAAAGCATCAATTGCAGACTGGAGAGGACAGAGAAAAGAATGAATAAATGTGATGGAAAAAAAAAAACTATAGAAATCAGCCAATCTAAATAACAGAGAGTTATATATGTATTGGAAAAAAATTAAAGAGGACTTCAGAGACTTGTGGGACTATCACAAAAATAAAACATTCCCCTCATCAGAAAACCAGAAGGAAATAAGAAAGAGTGGGATTGAAAGAGTATTTAAAGAAATAATGGCTTAAAATTTCCCAAATTTGGCAAAACATAGTATGTATCCAGGTACCAAGCAGGGTAACCCTAAAGAAATCCAGACCAATGTATATCATAACACTAAGCCTATAAAGAAAATAAGCAACAGAGAAATAAATGATACCTCACGTATACAATAGACAATTCAAATGACGGCAATTTCTCATCAGAAAACAAGGTCAGAAGGGTGGCACATTTTTCAAGTGTTAAACTATTAACCCTCAAAGTTATATCCCATGAAAGTATCCTTCAGGAATGCACAGGCAGACCCACTCCAAAAGAATGGCTAAAGGCACTTCTTGAAACAGAAAGGAAATGGTAAAAGAAAATGTAATTGGAGAAAGATCCATTTTTTAAAAGCAAGAAAAAGATAAAACACCTCCAGTGATTTCCAATGGTTCTCAGAATAAATTCCAGTCACCTTTCTCAAGCTACAAGGCCCAAGGTGATTAACTCCTCCCTATCTTTCTGGCCTCAGTTCCCTTCATCCTCTCCCTTGCTTGTTATGCTCAGGTCTCACTGGCCTTTGAGTTCTTCAAACTTGCTAATAAGCTCCATCCTGCCCCTCTGCCTCAAATACTCCTCCTGTTTCAGCATGCCTCCTCCCCAACCGACCCATGCTCATCCTCACAGAAGAACTTTCTAACCCCAAATATATTTCCTATCATTCTTTTTCATTATACCCTGTACTTTTTTACTTTTAGAACATTGCAATTTGTAATTATGTATTAATTTTTTGGTGTGTTCACCTATTCGTCTTCATACACACACACACACACACATATACATACAGGAAGGGCAAGAAACAACTTTCTCTGTCACCACTGTAACCTCACACCTAGTACCCAGTCAACATTTGATAAATATTTGACTGAATGAATCAATCAACTAAAGGCAAAGGTGAGGAGTCAGGTATCTGAGATAATGGGCTGTGTCTTTGAAGATGATCTGTATTGAGGTCAGCAATAGTCTTAGACATCATTGTTATAAACACCACATTTCAATGACATTAATTTTTACTTGTTCAAAGAAATGGCCAAATGGCCTCTGAAGGATATCAGACCCACCTGAAGTACAGAAAGTGGACCATGGGTTAGGCCAGATTTTTTTCATCCAGAGGGGTAGGACCCCAGGCATGCTCCACATGTGCAGATAGGTAGAGATCCGGCTAGTCTGGATGGCTACCAGATTGCCACCAACACCTGTGAGAAGAAAAAGAATCTTGTTTTCCCTCCTTTAGGCCAGTCTCTGAATTCTATCCCTTATTTTAAGTTTACTTTCTCCAGGAATTCTTCCTTGACTGATTCAGCACTTGATCTCCTTACACTCCTCACTTGACCACAGATCTTGTTTGGTGTCAGGTAGTAAATGCATCACTTTGATAGATCTTCAGGTAAAGAAAGTGGGGCAAAGTAGATTCTCAGTACATATTTGTTGGGTAGAGGGAGAATGAATGGTGGGAAGGAAGGAAATTCAGAAAAAAAAAAAAGGAAGGACAAGAGAGGGAGGAGAGCAGATGACTTGGTCTATGAGAGAATATCTTGATAAGGTACTCAAAGTTGGAGGAAGTGACAGGAACCAGACTACAGACTGGAATATATGAAGGAGGAAAAAGGGATTTTCACCTCAAGGTAGGAAGGAAAGGGAACAGTGGGAAAGATCAGCAAGGGAGGAGAGGTGATCACAGGGTGACAGAGCTGGGGCTTATTGCTGAGACTCCTGGCTTCCATAGGGAGCTGATGGTGTGTCCAGTGCCATGCTGAACTCTATGCAGGGACAGACTTTGGGGTTGGCAGAGAACAGGGACCATTGATAGTGACCACCTCCTTTTGAGACCGAGTTGGGTTGCCCTCATTCTATTTCTTCAGCTCTGTGGAGAACAATCTCTCACTGGGCCAGATGTATCCCAGTAATCTCCAGGGGCAAAGACCAACTGCCTTCGGCTTCCAGAAGATGCAAAAAAGGTCTGTGGGCAGAGGATGGCTACAGATCTATTTTCCTTGCCCACAAATGATTAAAAAAATAACTCAAATTAATTGGTAGCATTTACAAAATAGACCTTTAATACAGATTTCCAGCTTTTCCTGAAAAGTCAGCTCAAGCAACTCTGGACCTTAGTGCCTACCAGGTAACAAGGGGCCAGAGAGAAACAGGCACTACTCCCTTCACCCTAGAAACACACGCCCCGTTCTCCATCACTCCTTACTACCTTGCTCTTGTCTTACCTGCTTAACTCGTTCAAATTGCTTGCTTGACCCCTATAGGTATTTGAGTTGATGCCATCCAAGGATATCTTTCCAAACTTATGTCCATCTGTACCTGACTTAGCTGTTGCTGTCCTCACTCAAAGTGGCCAGACCTTGTGCTGGGAATGGGACCTACTGGACTCTGTCGAGGTACAGGCCTATTGGGTGGCCTACTAACATGCAAGGAACACAGGCCTGAGTTCCCACTGAAGTGGAGAGAGGGAAGCTGGCCCAAGAACCTGTGAAGCTTGTTTCCGAAGACCCAGAAAGCCAGAGCCTGGGTAGCAAGCAAACCGTGCAATCAGTTACTATGTTTGGTTCCTCCCCTGGCCACTGGTCTTATTTACAGAGCCTTTCCAGAAACCAGATTCATACCGAGCTTTGATTAAAAGGGGGATTCTCACACAAATGCTCACAGGATCTAAGTCTAGAAAATGAATCAGTGAAGAGTTACAATAGGAAATGGAAAAAAAATGAGGCAAATTGGACAGCACAAGTCCTGTCTCAGTGGCAGCTGATTCCTGCCCTACCCCCAATGTAAACCCAGTATTGTTATAGACTTGCTTTTTGAAAAGACAGAAATAGATATTTTTGTGTAAATGTCTGAGTTTTAAATGTCACCAATGAACCTAAATTAAAAATAAAAGAGAGACCATGAGAGGTAAACACTCCAGTTCTGAAAGCCACATTCATTCTGCTGGTGCCAGAGAATCCTGGGTTAAATTCTTTGTGCATTCAAGCTCTGTGGGAAAGCTCAGGTCTCAGTGGCCTCTATGAGGAGCAGCATGTGATCTGGTGGAGCAATGGGCATGGCTTCTCCCATGGGGTCTCCTTCTATCTGAGGAAAATTAGCCTCAGTAGTCTCTGAGCACTCAGTTTCCTAACTCTGCCTCTGAGAGCCTGGGACCAGACCTCTGACATCACTGCTACTCAGGTCCCACCACCTGGGTCCAGGGGACCAACACAGTCCAAGAACCTGAGGTGATGGGGATTGCCAATACCTACCACATATAATGGGAGTAAATATGGCCATTCCTTTGTACTGCTCTTTAGAAATGGTTTTGTTCAAGATGAGCCCTCCAAAACTGGGGAGAGAGCAAATGGCAGTCAAATGATTAGAGTTTAGACTTGTAAGAGGCCTTGCAAATATTTTCTAAACAAACTGCTTAATCAGGTTATCTTTTCCTCTCAGCAAACACTTTCCTTACCCCTATGCAAAATCCCCGTTGTAGCCAGTCTGGTCTCTTCAGTGTCCTCTGCACCCCACACATGCATTTTTATCTTTATTCTAGTCTTACCTGTTCTATAAGGCCCTTCAGATAATGTCAGTCCACTAAATGCAACAAACTCCTTTCTGAGGCCTCTTAGCTGGCTGGCTCTGTCTTATGAGAGCCTCTGAACGGCAAGTGAGTTGCTCCTTAGCAGAAAACGCACCTGCATGAGTATCATCTCCTTGTTCTTGGAAGATGCTGCAGCAAGACCTCACTCCCACCAGTCCCTGTAGTTTGGCACAGGCTGCCCCACCCATAGAGCCTTAAAGAAGTGAAATCAATTTGTGTAAGGAACCCAGACACATACCTAGACTATACCTTCTCCTCTCTGAGAGTCAAATTTAGAAAAGCACATCAGAAAGGACTGGGGTGGTCCCCATCAGGGTCTGCTAGTGGGAAGGGCCCTTGAGAACAAAGCTGGAGGGTAAAAGACCTGGGCTCAGCTAAAGGCCCAAGGCTACACAGAAACTAATCCCTCAGCCCCTTTAGGTTCCACCAGCATCCATGCTGTGAAATGGTATTCATGTAGTCACTGTCTTGAGGACAAGTGAGGGAATCCCTGCAGCCTAACCAGGGGGCCAGGTCAGTCAGAGCTATGGCAGCAGGGAAACAAAGACCAATATCCCACAGCACCAAGACAGGGCAGGAGCCATGGCACTGGTACACTTATCTGATGTTTCCATATTCAGTTCTTCCTGGCTCTCTGGTGCTCTGGCAACTGTAAATAAGACTGCCTCCCAGAACAAACAAGTTTAGGGTTCTTGGTGAGAATAACAGAGATGAAGAGTAAAGACGTATGACAACCAGCACTGGGAATTAGGGAAGGAGCCCACAGCTGCAGTTCAGTCTAACCATGGCCATGGGGAAGTGAGCCTCACCTTTCTCCAGGGGTTTGTTGGCCCTCACACCACTCTCTTGAACACAGAGCCAGAGAATGGCACGGGGAGGCAGACAAGGGGCAGAGACCCCAATTCATGCTCACCTGCTGATCACCATTGCTAGGATGATTGGGAACCACCCGAACTTTAGGATCTTCATGATGGGTGGGTTCTGTTTTGCAATGAGGACCCACACTGGGGTCAGGGCCATGAAGCCAATGCAAACCAATGGAGTCAGAAACTGATTGTCTGGGAAGAAAAAGAAGAAAAAAGGGGATGTATGCAGCCATGTGGCCAGGGCCAGAGCACACAACATGGCCTTGTGAGCTGAGGCCTGGGTTGTAGAGATAAGTAGGCTGGGAACTAAAGGCGCTAGAGGTCTGAGGAGACCCTTCTGTCCTCATCAGTTTAGGGTGAACTGTCCTACCATAACTTCCAAAGTATTTTCTCCATCCTGTTAAGCAACTGGAAAAGCTCCTCTCTGTCTTTAATTCCTGCCATCTTTACTTTCACTTCTAGTTTTGCTATTTTCCTAACTGTCCCCTCTTCTGCCCCCTCCCACCCCAGTAGGCTCTAAGCAAGTATCAAACATTGTGGGAGACAGCAGCCTATAGGAATGCCAACTTGCAGGACATTTTCAAATCTAGTATAATTCTTCTAGAACTCCCAAGAAGCATCAGCAGAGGTTCTACCTCATATTCTCTGAGCCTGGTGGTGAATACTTCCATTGCTCTGCATGTGGCTTGTCTTCCGGACTATAGCGGCAGATGTGACAGTTGATGGCTCACACCTTGTCAGTGAAGATTTATCTGACAATATGCTAGGCCATGACTCCCACACCCATCCAGTTCACCCACGATAAATTCACAGTGTAATTGGAGAGATGGACAATCCAACAATAATTCATCATCTAATCAGTTGTATGTTAAAACACACGATTTCAGTAGGGGTGTAGCAGGGGTGCAGAGAAAAGGTCTGGGGATATCTGTGACTCATATTTATTTTTCAAATCAAACATGACTAACCTGCCCTGGCTGGTGTGGCTCAGTGGATTGAGTGCTGGCCTATGAACCAAAGGGTCACTGGTTCAATTCCCAGTCAGGGCACATGCCTGGGTTGCATGCCAGGTTCCCAGTAGAGGGCATGCAAGAGGCAACCATACATTGTTTCTCTCTCTCTCCCCCCTCCCTACCCCTCCCTCTAAAAATAAATTTAAAATTTTTTTAAATATGAAGAGGATATTTTTTTGAAAAAGAAACAAAACACAAAAATATGACTAATACACAAATCTTGTTTTAAATTCAGTTTGGCTTAAAAATAAAATTAGGTAATATTAACTCTTCATTGTCACTGACATAAACTTTGAGAATCTCCCAAATCACTAAATATTGTTGGTGGTAGGCAATTAATTCCCAGGATGGCAAGAAGCCAGTCCCAGGGCTGAGACAGAAAGGGTCCTGGTGCCTGAACACTAAATCAGAAGTGTTTTGTTGCTCTGCTTCAGTTGCCAGTATGTAAAAACAGGGTGATATCTCAAATCCTTGGGTCCATGTTCCCACAGGGCAATAATTAATTGAAGCTGTGCTGCAGCTTGCTCCTTTGTCTGGGGCATTTCCTCCCACTGTCACTGCATGCCTCAGTACTCCCCACTGTCTTCATCACCACACACTCCATTTAATTATGCTACTTGCATCAAAGCATCTGGGTCCCGACTGTACTCAGAATCCATGCTTGCTAGCTGTAAACAGTTGTGTACAGTCATCTTGGAGAGACTGTTCCAGGTGGAAAGTAAACAATGTGACACTCAGAAAAGAGGTCAGCTGTTGAATTTCAAAAGGAAATAACCTTCTGGGCAAGGGTGGTGTTGCCTGTTCACAATGCCACAGGCATGAGCAACCTCTGTGTTTCCATGGCAGACGTGGAGAGACCTCTGGTGAGGGCCTGTTGCTACAAAATGTGTAAACTGCTCCCTCAGCTGCTAAACAGGTGGCTGAGGAGCCCTGGCTTCCCCTGCCTCATGAGAGGGACAGCAAATGCTGCTGCTGCCTGTAACTGAGACATTCTTCTTTGAAAGCTACTTCTTGGGCAGTTCCCATGTGTCCAGTGTGAACTGCGTTTCACAAGGAGGTACAGGTTAGTCATGTTTGATTTGAAAAATATATTCTGAGTACCTGCAAGACTGTGCTGAAGTGACCAGACCAGCCTCAGCATGTCCCTGGCCTCCTCGTACATCCTGGTCCTAAGGTGGAAATGGACAACCTATATACCTGCTGATGTGAGCACTGCATCCCATCTAACACGACTGGGAGAGCTTGAGGCACTTGCTAGAGAACACCTTGACTTTTTCAATGACTTTAGGCTTTCCTTCTGTAAAAGGAGGCTCTCTGATTTCATAACAGGCCCCATAGGTTCCTTCCTGTGGTGCCTGATTTGAATAGTGCAGGCTGGGTGCAAACATTCCCACTCAGCCTTGCTGAGGCTGGGTGCAAACATTCCCCCTCCTCCTTGGGGGCCCCCCTACCTTTGTGTTTATAGAAGAAGTTGCTAATGAAAGCCAGAATGGACAACGTGATAAGGTCTCCCAGGCTGGCTGCAATGGGTGTGGCGATATTGTCTGGGTTGACCCCGAGCTTTCGAGCACCAATCACTACACAGACCATCAGCACTCCTGCAGAGGAGAGAGGAGACTCAAACCCTGGGGAATCAAATGACTCCAAGGAAGATCAGCCAAACAATTGAGAAGTGGCACAGAATGGCAAGCTGGCCAGGATGCTGCTCAGGAACTTCCCTCTATCAGCACAAGCCTAGACTTAAGCCAGATCACCTGAAAATGCTGGGAGTGTTGGACTGTGCTTTGTGACTTTCTGGCATGATGCTAAGGAGTAGCCTGAAAGCTTTGATGGCACACTCAAACCCATTGTGGTTCCTGGCTTCCAAGCCACTTGGAACTACAGACATGAAGTTCATAGCCCCTCGCATCAGGGAAACACTCCAAAACTCTTCTGAGCAGTAGGAGCCCCAGGGACTGAGCATGGCCTTGCATGTCTGTTGGGGTCCATGGAAAAGTCGCTGCCGGAGTGGAATTAGCTGTGTGAGGGGTTTGTTAGGGTCAAAGCCTATGAGGGAAGATGGGAGGGGTGCCAATGCAGGGCAGCCCTCATGGCAGGAGAGAGGAAAGGGAGGAGGAGGCGCACATGCAGACTACAGTGCAGTGTTGGGGAGCCCAGCATGACTGCCAGGGGTCCCCAAGCCAAAGACATGTGGATGAGTCCATGTCTCTGGGGAAAAGGCCCATCTCAGGGGCTCTGCAGGGCCACCACTGAGTGGAGCCAGCATGTGGCCTCTGATTGCAGGGCTGATAGCTTTTAGGGTGCAGCACTTAAGATCTGCTCCCCAGCTAGAGGCCTGAGAGGTACCTTTCAGGAGCTGTCAATTCTCCAGGTCCTGCTTTCTGTTCTGACTCTGTTCTGAGGTGACAGTCACATGTGGACTTGTAGCCCCCATCTGCTGCTTGGGACTTAATCCAACAGCATCCCATGTGGGTTTTTAAAGACAGTTTGTATCTTGGATATTGGTGTTTTAACACTTTACCCAGTATTTTGTAACTCTAAAAATAGTTAGAATTATGGACTTAATGTTGTTTTATTTAAAACTGCCACCACCAGCCACAATTAGTGCCCTATTTTGTGACCAGGTCATAGCTACTTTAATCTCTTTCAAAATATAAATTCTAAGTGAATCTGAACTTGCATGGCTAAGGTGGTGGTCTCCTGACAATCCCACTGGAACTATAGATAGGGGCACCACCCACTGGAGAGCACTTATTGAAAACCACCACCACCACCTGACTCCATGGCACAGTCATGTCATGGTCACACTGTGAGACACTGGCCATGTTTCTGACCATCCATACATCCTTGGATGACCCCAATTATGTGCAAGCAGCTGAGATTTACCCCATCTCTTCGCCTCAGTTTCCTCCTCTGTAAACTGGAGAGCTATGGCATTTTTGTACAAGGCCCCACAGGAACAGGGCTGGCCTTCTGAATCATTTGATTGTGTTGTCTTCAGAGAAAACTTCATGCCAAGTATCTCCTGGGCTCTATTTCTTCAGAAGGTTTGATATATTCACCCTGTCCTTCCTTTGACCAGAATGAGTAATTGTGCCACCCCATGTGCATGCATAGACATGTGACCAGGTGCAAACATCACACCCGGAAAGCACAGCTTGTGAATCTGCTCCTAGGTTTCTGCACTTTTACCTCTCCCTCCCAATCATGTGCCCGGTACAGGAACGTCAGTCCATTAATCAGCAGCTATCTGGATTAACATATAGAGAGCTGCATTAACTTACAGAAAGCTAAGTTCAAAGGTGTTTTGTGGGCAGTCAGATGGCTGGACAGAAGTGTAAAAACAAATCCAATTCATAAAGTCATTACTTGTTCCTTACTGCACTGGCACATGTGGCAATATACACAGACGCACAATCCACAACAGAATCAGAATAAAGTCCGTCCATGCAGCAAACATTTGAGAGCTGGTTATATGCCTGGATCTGTTTTAAGGAACCACTGAGCTCTGTTCTCACATTTACATGCTTCTTGGATGGAAAAACAGACAGTATACAAGGAAGTGAACAAGCATTTAAAATAAATAAATAGGATACTTAAAAATAAAGCATGACTGTGAACAGTGCTACTCCAGAGAGCTAATTAGAGAAAGCCTCAGAAAGGAAGAGAAACTGACACTCAACTAGAGTTATCTATATGCTCCCGTACTGATGTCTCACTCTGAACTAAAATATAGACATCACAGGATCCCTGTGCATTTTGCTCACAAGTGTATCCCTAGCACCATAACAGTGCCTGGTCTGCAGCAGACACTCAGTAAATACTGAGTAATAATGAATGGGTGACATTCTATCATAACTGCATAGCCAACTGGTTCTCTACTGACATATGTGAGCTCTGAGGACAGGTTATGTCTGCCAATGCCTTTGTTTTTCCACCTTCTGTTGACACATAGGAAGCATCTGCCTGTGTGGCAGGCAGTGTAATAGGAGCAGCAGATGGAAAACAGGAGATGGGGCCTCCAGCTTGGAGAAGCTGATATTGTAGCAAGAAGGTGAGATAGAAAATGAACAAAGAAACAAGATAAATGCAGTTTCCCAAGTGTTCTAAAAGGAATCTGGCATGGTACACTAGAACATGGCAGCAGTGGGGAAGGGGAGAGTGGAGAACAGTACTTGTGAAAGGGTAGATAGGCAACACCTCTCTAGGAGATGAAATTTAAGCTAAAAACCAAGCCTTGCTCTCCACAATGATGGCAAACTGAAGTGCCCACCACTGGCCCATATGTAAGCCATGCTGGAGAAATGGTTAAGGACTGAATGAATAAATAAATGAATGAAGAGATGACTATGTTTACAGAGCACAGGCCAGTTCTTTAAATAAACAGAGGGAAGAAAAATTAAGTTAGCAGCTCCCCTTGGCACATACACCCTAACCAAGCGGGGGCTAACTGTCCTCTTTACCTGCCAATCAGGTGGGTCATGACATGGCAGGCTCATCCTCATTCCCAAGCAGGACACCAAGGCTCTACCACTAGTGCTTCATTTTTCAAAATCAAAAGCACAAAGATCTGACAGTGGAGCTCTGAGAAGTATAGCATGCAGCCATGTAGGAGGAGGAAGGGGGCTGGCTGGGGGCACAGCTCACCAAGTGCAAAGGCTGCAAGAAAGGCAGTGCTGACACTGCTGGCACACAGCAATGTGATGGTGGCAAAGTCTAATTCCCCCCTAGACACAGCTCCCAGCAGCAGGGCAGACATAGCAGCCAGGAATCCCACGACGGTGGCCTGCACCTGTCAGGCAGAAATCAGAAACGTGAGGAAGTGTCCCTCTGACTATCACTGGCCTCCCTGCCCTTCACCATGCCTCCTCTTTGACCTTGAGAGGTCAGGGGAAAACAAACACCTTCCTTCAACCCAGTTTCTCTGAAAACTACTACTTTTCACGCTTCTGTTCCATGTCACCTTCAATCAGAGAATCTAGCTCTTCATCTTGCCCTCAGCCCTTGCTCAAAGGCCACCAGGATCTGGCCCACAGCTCCTCCTTCACTGCTCTGGGCAAGTGTTTGTAACCTCCTGTAGGGAATTGATCTTCCTGGCAATGGCAATTGTAGCTCAGCCCTATGGGAAAGCCCATAGGCCTGTGGTGGCACACAGGAGCCAAACCCATGGATCAGCTTTCCTACGGGAAACCAGGCCTGCATTATACCTAGGCTGCTTTGTGACTTGTTCTTGCTAAAAATCCCTCACTCTGAGTTAAGGCAGAAATGCTTACTGCATATCTTTTTTTTTTTTACATTTTATTTTAATTGCTGTTAAAGTACAGTTTTCTGTCTTTTACTCCCATCCCAGCACACCCACCCATTACTGCATATCTTTAAAGTAACTTCCTAAAGTCTGTGCTAATTCTCCCAATGACTGAAGTATAACCAGGCCAATTACTCTTATTGTTCCCTTGCATTTGCAACATTTTTCCTTGTTAACCTGTAAGAAGTAATCAGTAACATCCCTTCTGTTGCTAGCTGTAAAAAGTAATTACCTAAAGCAAACCTAAGCATAATGAATGAAAACCTTCTTTGATATATGCTATTACAAAGCCAATAAAAGCCTGTCAAGGCAAGGGTCAGGGTGCTCTCCCCTTGAGAAAGTGGCCGTGCCGTCCCTTTTTCTCCATAGGACCCAGTAGTCCGTGTGAATTTGTCTGATCTCATCCATAACACTGCAGACACTGCGGACCGGTGTCTGTGTCAACCTCCAGCAGCACAAACTGTGGATCTGTCCTTGGGTAGATGCTCCCCTGTTCTCTGCAATCTCTCCTGTCCCCAGACACAGTTTCCATCTCATCCAGATGGGATGTATCCATGTGGGGACACATCTCTGTATCCACTCAGGACAGTACCAAGGGTGCCCAGATCTAAGTATCAATATTAGCATCTGCTCTTAGTAGTCAAAAACATCTTGGTGGAAACAGGTTGTGTTATTAAAGAAGGTTGAATAAACTAAGAATTCTACAATATATATAGGTGGGGTGAGTTAGTCCTTTAAAGATGAAAAGTGCCCTCCAAGTTCACATATATAATTCCAATCAAAGTCCTAACATTTTTTTGCATGAAACATAACACATTTCAAATTTCACAAAGAAAGTAGATGTGTGAAAATAACCAAAACAGTTTTGAGAAATAAGATCAAGAGAGAGTTTTGGCATATTTATTATCAATACATGTTTTAAACCTAGTAATTAAAATAGGGCATATTGGCAGAAAAAATAGATCAATATGACAGAATGGAGTTCAGAAATAGAATCATGAATATATGAAAATTTAATATGATAAAAGGCATTTCAAATCTATATGACTAATGAACAAATAGAGTAAGAGAAACTAAGTATCTGTTTGGAAAGTATTTTTTAAAATTCCTGTTTTATACCATTCACAAACATGTATAACTAAACATAAAAATCTAAAGTGTGCCCTGGCCAGGTGGCTCAATTGGTTGGACCTTCATCCCAATACACCAAAACATTGAGGGTTCAATTCCCAGTTGGGCACAAACAGGAAGCAACCAATTGATGTTTGCCTCTTTCATCGATGTCTCTCTACCTCTCTGAAATCAATAAACATATCCTTAGGTGAGGATTAAAGAAAAAATTTTTAATCTAAAGTGTAAAATAAGAGAAAATATAGAATAATATGTTTCAGATTTTAAATTACTACTACTAAAGATACATCATTTAAAATCAATAAACTATAGATAAACTTTAAGTCCAAGTATGACTTAACACAAGATAACCCAAAATTCAAAGACAGAGGTAGACTTGGAGAAAATATATCCAACATATACAATAAAGGATTGGTATCAGAATAATTAAGTCCATTTTACAAGTAGACAACAACAATAACATAACCGAATAGAAAGATGCACAAGGGAGGTGGACAGGGAACTCGCAGAAAAGGAAACACAAATGGCCAAGAAACATGCAAAAAGATGGTCAGCCTCCCTAGTAGTCAGGGGAATTTTAAATAAAATCACAATCTGAAGGCATCTTATTTATTTGTAACCACTGTTAGCTTTCATCTATTGAAAGTTAAGTAGTGTTTTATTTTCAGCTGAGGTCCTCAGCTCTGAGAAGAGAACCTGGATTTCAGCCGTCATCTGTGCTCACCAAATAAATAAATGAATAAGTCTATGAATGGATAGGATACACTATTTTGACCCATCGGATTAGGTAAAATTAAAATTTTAGAGGTTGATAACAAAATACACATTGACAAGTATATGGAAAAATGGTCTCATATACACTGATGGTTGTAAAATTGATACAGGAATTTTGGAGGAAAATTTATATGTAAATTACCCATACACCTTATAATCTAGCATTTCCCAGGGAAACAACTGCAAATGTGAACAAAGACACATAATGATAATGATATTTAGAGTTGCTATTGTCCGAGTGTTTACTATTTGCCTTTTTAAGTAATTTTCATTCATGAAATCATTAAAAGTACAAATTACAGATTTATATATATATATATATATATATATATATACATAATATTTTTTATTTTTAAAAACACGGAAAGTCATCATATATTATCTATGGCTTAGAAAAATACTTTCAATGCTGGTAAGCTTATGGAGAAACCAATACTTCAAATATTAATACTACTCCTATAATTTAGTATTAAGAAATCAAATATTTTGTGATGCTTTTGGGAAAAATGTGGAGTCCTCAACTGTTCATAACTTGGTGAATCTGTGGAAATTTCTCTTAAGAAATGTGTGCAAAAAGAGAACATTTTTGTTGCAGTATAATTTATTAAGTAGCAGCTTCAAAACAACTGCAGGTGCACCCACAGGCTGCTAGTTAAATGAAGTGGGACAGGGCTGAGCTTTGCACTGATCTGCCAGGCCAGCTCTCAATGACTGCCCTTTCAATCTCACTGGAAATTTCTAGGCCCTACTAGACATTAACAATTTTAAATAACACTCTTGGTTCTATTTACATGATGGAGTATGCTGAAATTATTAAAACATTTGATTGTGAAACTTACTACACAATTTGTTTCAATGTTCAGCTTTTTAAAAATAGAGGGGACAAAATTATATGCACACTAATATTAGGACCATGTGCAAAGCTGCTGCCTAGCCCAGAGCAGGACTTAATAAATGTTTGTTAAGCATCAATCATGTGGAAATGTACACATATACAAACAAGGATTTGGTGTAAAATAGAAAAGTAAAACCAGTGAATTGTAGCTGAGGTATTTATTACCTGCCTGTGCTCAGACCCACTGTTAGAAATGCCATGAGTGTCTCATTTAATTTCTCAAATTCTTCACCTGCAGGCTTAATTTGGCTGTAAATTACCCATATACCTTATAATATATTACTGGTGGTCCAGGCCCATGCAAATCACCTGAAGTGGAGGATGCAGACATCTAAACACAGAATCACAACAAAGGCAGCCCCAGCAACACACACAAGGCACCAAGGAGCTATACGTGGAGTCAGGTTGGAACTGAGACCTGACTGGAGTCTTTAGAGGGCTTCCCTGCCAGGTGAACAAAAGAAGAAAAGGACACTCCAAGGGCAAATAACCACATATGCAAGACATGAAGCTGGTGGGGAAGGTGGGACCAGACCATGAATGCCTTTTAAGCCAGTGTCACCTGGACTGGGAAACCAACAAAAGGGCTTAAAGAAGAGGACTTATCAGTATTATATTTTAGAAAAGGGTGTTCAGGTGGCTAAGCAGAGGTGAGCTGAAGGTCAAGAAGCCTGAAGCAGTTAAAGCAGTGAAGAGGTTTGCAGTTAAGTCAAGGGACCAAGAGGCTATGGCAAGGAGGGCAGGACTGGATTCCAGCATAGCTCAAAGGCAGGATGCTCATTTACTGGCTAAAAGGACAAAAGGCAGAGAAGCTGAAGGTGACTCAGTTTTCAACTGATTAAACAGTAAGAATACTCAGTAGGCATAGCTAACGTGACTGATTAGTATGTGCAAGCTAGACACCATACCTCTCCCATGATCCACAGTTCATAATAACCTACCTTACAGGTAAGTGGAAGTAATTCTGAATGTTCCCAGCTGACACTTAGAGTGAGCTTTCAACCATGAAACTAGACTGATTTAGGGACTTCAGAACAGTTGAGTGTGAGGAGGGAAGGTGACAGGCCAGAGCTAGCTACGCTGTTTTAGGGATCTTTTCAGACAGGCAGATAGAGATATCCACTAGAGAGCTACAGATAGCGGCAGTGGAGATGAGGGGTAAAGTCAGTATCCTCCTAATTTGATGAACACAGAGATATGGCTAATTGAGTCTGTGTGCCCTGCCCATGTTGCCAGTTAATACATAATGGCCTTAACTCCAGGCCTGTCTGATCTCAGAGTCCAGGTTGTTTGTGCAGGCACAGGCTACCCCCAGCCAGAGAAGCCTAGGAGGTACTGGAAGGAATCACTTCCTGTCTAGATCCAACTCTGCCTTTGCCTGAGCCCCTAAGTCAATCTCTTCTAAGGCTCTCAGAGTCAGGCTTCCTGAATGAACAGGATGAACACTTAACCCAAGTAGGGTCTACTAGAGGGATGTATATGTTTGAACGAGCAGGAAATATATAAGGGACAAAGGAGAGGGTTTTGCAAAGGTTGAGAAGGAATAGGTAGAGAGGCAGCAATGGGGCCAAGGAGGAAATTTCAGGTAGGAATGATGTAAAGATGCTCCAGAAAAAATAAGTAGAATCACATGCACAAGGCAATCACAGGGGAATGGCAGCAATCCTGGCAAGCACAGTTTGTGTAGAGTGGGAAGAGAAGGCAGTTAGCACCCCAGGCTACAAGAAAGAGAAGTAAGCAAGTACAGGTGAATCTTTCAAGAAGCCTCCAGCTACTTGTGGTCTGTTGGGCATGGAGTGACTGGATGAGTGACTCTCATCCCCAAAACTCAGTCCAGAGCACAGGGATAAGGGTTCACTTTGCCCTCACCCTTGCTACCTGGAGTGGGCCTGACTGCAGATTCAAAAGCGGGGAAGTGATCCATCAATCTGACAAAAGGAAAAGTCACCTGAATGAGGGCGAGGTTACTGCTGATGACTCTGTGTTGCTTCTGGGGGTCATCAATTTGCCCAGTATTGACCTAGCATGGAAAGAAAGGGGCAAAGGGTAAGTATGGCTAGGTCCAAAACTAGGTCAGTCCTTCCTAGAAAAGGCAGTCTGTCAGAAGAGTAATTAGCAAATACCTTTTCACTGTAGTCAAAACAAATTATTCTGATCAGCTTTCCAAAGAATGACTCAGGAGTAGAGGTAAAGACATCTTTAAGAATCAGATGGTGCCATGAGCCATGCATGACTCCCATTCCCAAGTGTGCAAATGCACACACATATATACATGCATACAAGCATGTCACCCACAATTTCAGGGCCACCTTACTGCCAAGTCCACCCACAGCCCAAAAGGGAAGGATGTCTCTGTGAACCCGGCCTGTGCCCTCAGCCAGACCTTTGGCCACGTTCTCCCAAACACCTGCAGGTCTCTTCTTTCCGCTCCAGTGAGTCATATTTCAAAGGACAACCAACCACCCCAACTTTATATCTGCAAATGATCCTGTTTCAGAAATGCATTTAAGTCTCTCTTCTCTTAGGATTAAAAAAAAACCAGGATCAGAAATACAATTTTCTCCTTTAGAAATGGTAGTCAGCTCCAAATATAGCATTGCCAGCAAAATTCAATACATAGATAAGAAAAAGTTTCAAAACAAACATATTTTCCTAGTTCCTTTGTACTGAGTTTATTAAGTTCCTAAACAACACTGGAAAAATATAATCACATTTCTTTGTACAAATAAGGGGGGGGCATGCTTTTTGTCTTCAGTATGACAGATGTCTGGGATATATCTCAGAGACTGAGTCACCTCTTCCTACAGACAAATACCCACTTCAAGGAACAAAGACACAAAGTAGAGCAGAACATAGCAGCAGATTCCAAAATGCACCCAAAACACGAGGCCAGCAGGTTCGTCCCTCCTCTCTGCTACATGCCTGCACTGTATACTCCTGGGGCTCAGTGTTTCCTATCAATCAACTAATTACATTACAAGGCTGGTGCTGCTCTTATCAGATAAAGGTCTTGCTACTGGCTTAAGAACCCTGAGTATGAATCTGAAAAGTATTCCTTTCTCAAGACATTTTATTTCCATCTCTATAAAATGGTTAAAATATACAAATCTATAACCTGTATGACCCATGCAACAGCCATTTTTCTGTGTGAAGGTGTCTGCTGGTGTCCAGAGATATGTTGAAGAACAGGGAGGAAAAGGTTGAGGAAGCTTAAAGATCTCACAGAGAGGAGGGAAGAAGAGTGCCAGAGGGGAAGAAACTGGGAAGAGGTAGCATGTTAAGGAACTAGGATTTTGGAACATCTAGAAGCATTTCTAGGCCAGGAGATGGGAATCGGCAGCTGTGTGGAATGTGAGTGAAGGTCAATGGAGCTGAAGCTGTCCCAAAATTGAGAGGCTTGCATTTTGAATGAATTATACACGTGAATGCTGAAATCATCCAGGATGGTGGTAGAATTTGGTGTGAAGTTAAAGACCGCTAGAGGGCCTACTTTCCAGGACTGTGCGGGACTAACCAAGTGGCAAAGGAAGGGAGGGAGCAGAACGGGATGGTGAGGTTGCAGCAAGCTCACAAGGCCATCAGGATAAACCACAGGTAGAAGTCCTCCAGGAGACCTGGAGGCAGGTCTCCATCAAGATAGAGGGACATTTCTTAACCCTAAATGGTGGTCCTAGAGATATCAGGGTAAGAGCCTGAAGAGCAGCACCAGTCTAAGTAAGCACAGGCTTGGTGGCTTTTTGCTAAGACTACAAAGAGAAATTTTGTGGAAAGTTGGAGCATCCTTTACAGACATCAATCCACATCCATTTCAACAGAAGAGGTTAGAGAAAGCCCTTCCTAAATGTGTGTTTGATTACATATAGTTACATATTTTAAATCTCGTTTACCTCCTACGTGTAGGTTTCTATGAGAAATCCTACGGAATCCTTTCTCAGTTCTAGATTTTCTAAACTTTTCCTCACTGTCTGCATCAAACAGTCTTCTTTCACTGATTCAGACCATGGTGTGATGAATATTCTCCAGGCACCTCTCTGGTTCTGGGTTGTGCCTAGAAGAGTGACCTGTGTGGCTACATGTACCAGCTCCCTTGTAATGTTTCTGCTTGGTTCTGGCCAATGGGGAACCATGGAAAGATACTGGAGGGCTAGAAGAGTGAGGTTGGCGGGGTGTGTATCTCTCCATCCTTCTCACTGGCTAGTGGCTGTGTTCCCTCACCCAGATCTGCAGCTCCAGCCAGATGGCCTTCTCCTATAGCTACAGGCTCAGGTATGCCCAGTTCTGCAAAAAAAAAAACCCACCTCCTGCCTCTTTAGGCCTTGAGTGATTACTTTCTATTGTTGCCAGTCCTGGGGTATTTCATTGTCCCTTTTTGGTTTGCCACTCCCTTGCTCACAATTTGGTGAATGAACTCACTTAACTCTCCGTTCAAATCCAATTTGTGTGCCACCTCTTTCCTGCCAGGATCCTGACTTACCCAGTAAGTTATATCTTCAGGAGCAGCAAAAAACATTGCTCACTGCTTTGTATATTTTTTCTAATAACAAAATATTTGTATATTTATTGCATTAAGATGGAGGAATAAGTGAACATAAGTTTTGCTATTCTTCTCCTTACCCAAATTGGAGTAGGGAAAGATAATCTTTTAACTTGTTCCAAAGTTAACAGTTTCCCCTACAGCTTTCCTCCAGCTTCTCCTGATGTTAATTAACATCTTACACTACCACGGGACAATCATTAACTACTAAGACATTAACACTGATTAGTATGACACTATTGACTAAACAACAGAATGTATCTGGACTTGCCCAGTTTTTCCACTAACGTCTTTTTCTGTTTCAGGAAATAAATCAGAATGGCCCACTGAATTTAATTATCACTCTTCTTGGTCTCCTCCAGTCTGTGAAAGTTCCTCATCTTTTGTTGTCTTTCACGACCCTGACCCCTTTGAAGAACACTGGTGAAATATTTTGCAGAGTGTCCTTCACTTGGGTTTGTCAGGTGTTTGCTCATGCTTAAACTGAGATTATGGGTTCTGAGGCAGAAGAGTGCAAAGGCAAAGTGGTCTTCTCTTTAGTATCTAGGGGTACATGACATCAATATGGCTGATCACATGTGATGTTAACCTTGTTCACTGGGGAAGGTGATATCTGCCAGAATTCTCCACTGTAAACTTAACTATTTTTCCCTTCCCATACTCTATTAATTAGGAGTCATTAAGTCCAGTCCACACTCAGGGAAAGGGGAACTGAACTTTACCTCCTAGAGGACTGCATTTCATAGATTTGAGGAAATGTACTAAAACTACCATAGCAATTCACAAATATTTGGGGAGATACTTAGAGGCTATGCAAGGATCCTATTTCTCCTAAAAGTGCTACCTACTACTTCATCAGCAGATTTTGCTTGCAACAATGGTCACTGTGGTATTCTAATGGTGATTTTATATTTCTGCCTTTCTTTCCACATTTATTAATTTAAATTTTTCTCTAAGAGCTATACTTTCCCCCCCATTTATTATTTACTTATATGATATATATGGGCTCATGTATAGTTATTTTATTCTTGAGGTCATAATACAGTACTATTTATTTTGTTGCTAAAATTGTTCCAGCTATGGGCAAAGTGAGCTCTTTCAGTTTGGTTCCTACTTCTTTCTGCCATGCCTCACCTTCATTTTAGCACTGCCTTATTACATGGTACTATCAGATATTCCAGATTCATTTCACATTTTCTCTGCCCCAGCCTTTTTCTCAAGGATGCTGGTTCCTTTTAGTGGAGCATGGTATCAGAAAACAAGGTCTGGGCACCAGGTGTGCTAGGTGCTACTGGGCTAGTATTGCTTCTAGGTCCTCTTGGTGGATGGAACAAGGAAATGTATATATGTACACTAACTCATGTATGTATGCATAAACATCCATATTTTTGTATCTGTCTGCATACATATTAAAATGAACATGAGTCCATACTGGTATCTCTGTCTCTGATACGGTATCACAGGATTCATTCTAGCACTGATGAGACAGGGTTTTGTTTTTTTTTTAAGAGTGCTAGAAAACAAGAGTTATCTATAGTATAACACAAATTCAGAGGAAACTCTGATCACTGGAAGGCAGATGAGAGTTAGGCTGATAGAAGAACCCATAACCTAAAATGAAAGCAGGAAAGGCCTAATGCACAAAGTACAGGTGGCCCTGGGGACGATGGGAACAGAAGGGTGACTAGGACAACTGAAAGAATATTTGGTTCAGAAAGCAAAGCAGGAGCTTTAAGGAGGGCTGGCCTCTTCTCTTGCCTGCCTGGTTTGTACCAACAGTGGGACCCCTGGCCACCTGGGTCCAAGCACAAGCAGCAAGAGTGTATGTGGTTGGGGTAAAAAAAAGCAGAGCAGTGCCTATAGTGACCATTAGAAGGACACAGAGCCCCCAGATCTGTAACACCAGTTCCTGGAGCACATCTCCGGGCAATGCATCTGACTCTCACCTCAAATCACAGGGGTAGCCTGCTCTAAAGGTGTCAGCATTCACAAATAGAGTAAAAGGAAGTCTAAAATACAACAGTGCTTAACCAACTAAGAATCACTGTTACCTAAAGGGCAGCCACAACCGTGAAAGAGTTATATAGATACCTGAGGATACAAACTCTGTTATTTTATACATACTTTTTTCCTTTGGGTTATTCTCCTTTAAAATTTATGCAAAGAAATTGTAATGGGTAAAATTGTGACCCGGCCCCACAATAAGTTGAAGTCCTAACTCTGTATCTTAGAATGTGACTTTATTTGGCAATAGGATTGCTGCAGGTGCGATTAGTTAAGATGAAGTCATATTCGAATAGGGTGGGTACCTAATCCTATATGACTGCTGTCCTTAAAGGGAGAAATTTGGAAACATACAGGAAAGAGGCAGAAAACCAAATGAAAACAAAGACAGAGATGAGGGTAATGTCTGCAAGCCAAGGAACACCAAAGACTGCCAGAAAACTACTAGAGGCTAGGAGAGAGACATAGAACATTTTCATTCACTTCCAGCCTCAGAAGAAACCAACCCTGCCAACATCTTGATCTCCAACTTATAACCTTTAGAACTTTGAGACAATATATTTCTGTTAAACCACTACGTCTGCAGAACTTTGTTACAAGTAGACCTAGGAAACTAAAATTATTACATGACTTCCAATTAAAATGAGACAGGCCATCATCTTTCCTTTATGGATTTTGCATTGTTCTGATACTTAAAAAGCATTTCTTATCTGCAGATTCTAAAAATACTGGTGTCCTTTTCTGGTAACATACTTCACTTAAATTATTCAGTCTTTTTGGCCTGGCTGGTGTAGCTCAGTGGATTGAGTGCAGGCCTGTGAACCAAAGGGTAAGGGTTGCTGGTTTGATTCCCAGTCAGGGCACATGACTGGGTTGTGAGCCAGGTCCCCAGTAGGGGGTGCATGTGAGGCAACCACACATTGATGTTTCTTTCCCTCTTTCTCCCTCCCTTCTCCTCTCTCTAAAAATAAAATCTTTAAAAAAATTATTCAGTTTTTCAATAAAAATATACATTTACATACGACAAATAAAAATTAATTTCAAGAATAAACCAATTATCTCAGACTCACTTATTAATAACTCAGTTTTGTCACTTGTTTAAAATGCCAGTATTATCACATAATAGATTATATTTGCATATATCTGAGCTTATTTCTAGAGGCTCTGTTTTGTTCTATGATAATACCAATTGAGACTGGTTGCAAAATATTTTAATTATTATAACTTTAAATTAAATTTTAAAATCTGGAAATCAAATTTTACCATTAGTAGTCTTTCTTTTTTTTCCTACCAATATTTTCTTGGGTACTCTCACTCATTCCTCCATATAAATTTCCCTAAACCCCCTTTAGCATGCTAATAATAATTGTATAAACTTTACAAACTAAAACAAAGAGAACTGGTAACTTACAACACTGACTTTACCCAGTCAGAAACTTTGTATTTGTATTTCCTTTTTTAGAGTTTTATTTCCACAGGCCCTGTACCTTTCCTTTTGAGGCTTCATGCTGAAAATGCTTTAAAATCAGTTAACAGTTTGAAAGATAGCTCTTTTCCAATGGTATTTTGTAATTATTTTTAGTGGCTGTAAAAGTACATAGATACATATGTATGTTAATGTATATTTCGAATTTCATCCAAATATTTTAAAACCAGGTTACTTTTTACTGAGCTTATTATCTTGAATGGTTTTCTAGTTAATTTGCTTAGAATTTTCCAAGAATACAAGCATATCAATAACAAGTTTTTCTCCTGCTTTCCAATATTTAAGGCTCTCATTTGCTTTCTGTGGCTTACTACATTAGTGAAACGTCCAGAACAATATCAGTAAAATATTCTTCTGTTGAAAGTTACACTAAAAGTTTCCTTTTTTAAAAAAATTATGAATCAGTTTGAAGGAAGTTGTAATCTACAGAGATTGGAACTGGACCAGAGGCTGCCAGGGCGAAATGCTGGGAGAGACTGGACTGACTGTAAAATAAAATGAGAGAAACTTGTATGGAGAGGGGAATGTTTTATATCTCGATTTGGCTAGTAGTACATTGGTATGTATGTATGTGTTTATTTAACTTATTGTCAAAAGTCACTCATGTGTACATACAAAATTTGTGAGTTTTGCCTGGGCCTAGTGCCTCAGTTGGTTGAAGCATTGAACCAGACACCACAAGGTTGTGGGTTTGATTCCTAGCCAGGACACATACCTAGGTCGTGGGTTTGACCTGCAATCAGAGGGCATACAAGAGGCAAGAGATCAATGTTTCTCTCCCACATCAATGTTTTCTCTCTCTTTCTCTAAAATCAATTTAAAAAACATACCCTCAGGTGAGGATTATAAAAAATTTGAAAATCTGTGAGTTTTTATTATATTAATTTATACTTTAATGTAATGATTAAAAATTAAGAATGGATGTTGAATGCCTTTAAAATTCTACGTGATGATAAAGGGAACTGCTCTCCTTAGAAAGATCACTGTAATGACTTATATGAATCCATTCTGTTTTCCCTCCATGTTTTACATATTTTAAAATAATTACAACACTAAGATATGATCATTGCAGAGAAATGGAGTTAAGCATTATGAAATAAAAACCTAACACCTTGAAAGCCAGCATGGCAGAGGTAACAATCAACATCATTTTCCCTCCCAGACACTGATCAATATAATTGGGCATGCCAGTGTATACATGTATACATGGGCATGCATGTTTTTGTGTGTAAATGTATATTTGTGTGTGCCTGCTTCATGTTACCTGTTGCTTGAAACCTTTTGATGTCCTACAGGGCTCAACATGATCTGGTCTCATGTGCCAGGTTCCCTGTTATTGCAATGACAAATTATTGCATAAAACAACAGAAATTTATTCTCTTACAGTTCCAGTGGCCGGGGCCTGAATTTATGGGGCTAAAATCAAGGTATCAGTAGAGCCTTGCTCCCTCCGAAAGCTTTAGGGGAAAATCTGTTCTTTTGCCAGTATGCAGAGCTACATTTTTTGGCTTGTGACTCTTTCTCCATCTTCAAAGTTGCAGAGGATCTTCTCTCTAGGACTCTGCTTCTCTCAGTTCTTCTTCTCTTCTGTCTAAAACTTCCCTCTGTCTCCCCTATATAAGGACTCTTATAATCCAGGATGCTCTCCTATGTCAAGGTCCTTAACTTAATCACATCTGCAAAACCCTTTTCCATATAAAGTAATATTCACTGATCCCAGTGATCAGGATATGGACATTTTGGGGGGCTGTTGTTCAGCCAACCACCCCTCATATATGTTTCTAGCTTCCTGTTCCAGGCAGCCCTCTCCCCTCACCCTCGGCACTCTAGCTAAATCTGTGGCTCTTCTTGCAGTTTCTTGAACACGCCACACTTCCTGTCACCACAGGCCTTTTTCAAATACTGGATATTAAATGGGCATCAGAGAGAGAAAAAGAATTTCAATTCCCAGAAGAGTTGGGAGAGAGAAGAGGGGCAAAGTCAGGAACCTTCTAGTTAGAGACTGAGTCCACAGCAATACCTCTGGTATTTACCTCTGGTAATTACCTCTGATAATACCCCTTGTGGGACATTCAAGGAACCCTTCTGGAGAACAAAACACCTCACAGAGGTCATTAACACCATTTAATACTCTGTCTCCTCTTTGAAATCCTCCATCAAGCCTGTAGTGTTGATTAAGGCTTCAGTGTGAATGTGTACAGCTGGGCTCAAGGTCCAGGTGGCTAAGCAATGGCAGCACATAAACTGGACACAGGGACACAGAGCCCTACATGACATGGGGTTAAAGGAGAAACTCAGGGCACATAGGGGCTGAGCCTGGCAGACAAGCAGTCTGACTTAGCTATGGAAAACCAGGATGACAGGCATCATGAAAGAACAAAACTCAACACTTGTCTTTTTAGAGAGTCCAACCCACCCACCTACAAGCTACTTCAGGGAGACCTGGTGGTGCAGACATTTCCCTCCCCCAGGGGAAAGTGGCCCAGATGCCCACTTACAGCTGTGGAGAGTCGTGATGCCAATGTCATCTCCAGGTTCCCCTTCAGGCCCACTAAGGGTGGCACCAATGTCAACAGGTCTTTAATCTCCACAAATGCTGGCCAGTGCTGGTGGGGACAGAATAAGAAGTCAATCCACACACACATATTGGCATATCTTGGACATTTGTTGAGAGAAGCTTTCCATAAGTTACTTCTTACTTCCTGTAAAATAAATGAATACGACTAACTTGTTTCTTTAATGACTTTAAGTAAAAATAATGATGAAGCCATGAAATTTTCTTAAAACTATTATTCAATGAACAGCTGTAGTTGCCTCAAAAAGAATTCCTTTCTCTGGTCCTCAGCACCTGGGAAAATTGGGGAATAGGCTCGGTCTCGCCTGTGAACATGCTTTGTCAGGAGTGCTAATGTGTTTATAGAAATAGGAATGAGTCACCAATTTTCAAAGTTGGGAGATTCACATTAACTGGGAGAGCAGGGGCTGAAGAGTGGTGCTGCTTTATCAGGGACAGAGTCTCCAGGCGGCCCCAGGCCTGCATCAAGGCTGCAGTTCAAGTTACCCTGGGGCATCATGCAAGGGGCTCTGCATTTGTCAAAACAGATAGAATGTGTCTCTACACAGGTCTCCATCAAATGTAAATAAATAAAAATTAAAAATTAAAGTAATGAAAGGGATGTAGGTTTCAAGAAAACTAGGAGAAAAAAATTATTTGTGAAGTGAAAACTACTCCAACCTGTTTCACATACAACTAGATTATCCCTCCAATCAATCTGCAATGATCCTACTGACTTACTGGAGCTCCCTGGCCCCTACAGATATCTGTGACCCCTATACTAGAAGGTCCTCATGGTTTTGGAATGCTAGACCTGAAAAAAAACAACTTTGTCAATGAGGAGACAGAAGGCCTGGGGTCCCCCATTCCCTAGGACAAGAGCTGTGTGAAGGTGTGAGGATCCACTCACCTCTGGGTCTTGGAGAGTCATGATCAGTAAAGCAGCTCAACAAAACATTTCACCAGGCCTGGAGGTGAAGGGACTAGGCCAGGCCCTTTAAAGACCCATTGTTTATGATCTTCACTCCTTGATTACTCCCTTTACTTATCTACAAAGCTGTGAAATTCAGAATCCTTACCTGCTCTGATGGATTTATGAGTCTGCCCTCTCCTAAAAGTTCAGAAGAAAGCTGTGTCACCAGGCAAGGAGGTGCACCATGATCACAGTACCAATCTGTGGGAAGCCTCTGGCCCCAGTGCAACCAGGCAGCTGTCCAATCAGCTACCACACTCTACCCAGCAGAGTGTGATCTCCCATAAATTCATGGGCAAAGGCCCTCTCTGCTGCCACCCTAAACATACTCCTACTGCCTCTGCAAATTGGCATGCTCCTATGTGCTCTCTCTTCCTGCTTACATGCAAATCAAGTACCCACCAAACCAAAAGTAAAAACAAACCCCAGCTCTCTCTCAGCCTTCCCTGCCACAGAAGCCTTCCCTCTCTCTTACTCAGCATCACCAAATTTTGAAGGAGTTCTTGTTGTCACCTATCATGATTAAATGCTTTGCAAGCCTCTGACTACCACATTACCCTGCAGCAATAACCCAATTATGCAGTGGCCCTTTCGATAATCTTTTAAAATCATCGAGCAGGTCCCAAGTTTGTGATCATTAATATAGAAAATGTACACATCTAAGTAATAAAGCCATCAATTGATTTTTTAAATGTTTTTATTATAAAAGTAAAAGAGGGCAACATAAAACTTGTGGGATGTTTGACACTATATTTGAAAAACTGGTGCATTAATATCTGGTTTGACAGAAGTAGTTATAATTCTCAGTGAGTTCTCAAGGTACTCATCAGACATTTCAGTTCTAATTTTACCTGTGTGTTTCATACTTGAAAATAGATGCTCTCAAATGTAAGTGCTGCCAGATAGCGATGGCATGAATAAGGTATGATTGTGAAGCAAGGGACATTTGTCTCTGGGAAGACAGGACCTATAAAAGTCCAATGAGGAGACATGATCACATTTTTCTTTAAGGTGAATATCAGATTGCAGCTCTCTGCATTTCATTTGAAAATTGGCAGGTAACATATTTATGTCAACTGAAAATCAAGACACAAATACAGCAAAATATTGATTATTTTCCCAGAAATACTGAAACATTTTCAAATTTTTGTATCAAATCAAAAAGCAAAGCTGCATATTTTTCACTGTTACAGGACTGTTTAGCCAATGTGTTAAAATGCATAAAGTCATTTGCCTTCATTTGAGCTTGCCATAATTTCAGTTTCATTTGGAATGCTGTTATGGTTTGAAACATGCTATTTATAATGTGGTTTTCATCTTGAAGATGCATTTTTAACTCATTTAGATGAGTGGTTGAATCCACTAAAAATTCTAAATCTGGAAGCCAATTTTTGTTTCAAAGTTCTGGCACAAATTTGTGTTTTGATATCATAAACGACTTGATAACATGTCACAAATCATAAAATCTTTTCAACATTTGGCCTCGACTTAGCCATGCTACTTCCGAAAAGTAAATGATGTCACCATAGGCAGTGTCAATACTTTTAAGGATTTCCTGAAATTGGAAGATTCAATCCCTGGCTCTTATGAAATTCACAGACTTGATGATAATTTCCACGGCATTATCCATTTTTAAAGCTTTGTGCATAAGTTTTCTTGATGTACTATGCAACAATATTTCATCAAATGTGAGTTTTGGGTGGCAATTGCATCATCTTCTATTAATTTTACAAGTCCCTCTCTTTTACCTACCATCACCGGGGACCACAGTAACTACAGAAGATATGTTGACAACAGACAAAGAAAATCATGTTAACATATTTTTTACTGCTTCATATAAAACTCTTGATTTAGTTGTGTCCTTTAATGGTACTAAAGAAGCCATTTTTTTCAGTGACATTACATTCATCATCAACACCTTGAATAAAATGGCAAGTTGAGCCTCTGTATCTGTAGCATCAGCGCTATCATCTATCATCAAAGCATAAAATTTAAAATTAGTAGCTTTACTCTCCAAAGTTCTTTCAATATTTTTCCAATATCATCAATTTGCCTGGCTATAATCTGTTGAGACAAACTGATTTTAGAAATATTCCCCTTTTTTTCAGGGCAAATTATATCTGCCATGCTTTCTATACATTGCTTAATAAACTCACCATCAGGAAATGGTTTTGATATTTTTCTATTAAATATGCTACCACATAACTAGCATTTACAATGGAATCCATCCAAGCAGTAAGTTTTTGAAAAATTTTTTGTTGAGAAGACAAAAAATTTTTTTCAGTTCCACTAGTTTGTCTTTAGGACACAATCCTTCATATGCATTGAATTTGGTAGCATGGTTTTTGCATATATGCCTTCGAAATTATAGTCTTGAAAATGTACACAAATTCCCTATAAATTAAGTGAATAGTACCTTACTATTCACCTCAATAAAAAAGTGGTCACCTGTCCATTTTTCACTGACCAATATTCCTTCATCCATAATTTTTCTTTTGGGGGGTTCTTTTTTCTTTTGAGACATTGTAGAAGTCAGGCTGGGATTAAAAAATAAAAATAGCTTCCGGCCAAGATTGAGGTGTAGATAGAAACACTTCACTTCCTCATGTAAACAAAAGAAGGATAACAACCAATTTAAAACAAAAAAACACCAGAACTGCCCCAAAAATCAAACTGTATGGAAGTCCTACAACCAAGGACCTAAAGAAACATTCATCTAGACTGGTAGGAGGGGCTGAAGGAGGGAAACCAGCTCAGAGAGGACATGTGGCCAAGTAGCAGCTGGCGAAACCAGGCCTTCCCACATTTGCATGAGGATAAACAAGGAGAAACAACTGGGGAGTGAGACAGACTGCACAACCCAGGGTTCCAGCATGGGAAAAATAAAGGTGGTAAAAATCTATGGGGATTGTGGTAGCAGGAGAAACTGCCAGTTTCTTGAAAGCGGGGTGAGAGCCAAGCAAACAGCATTGTTCCCTCTCTGATCCCTCCCTCACATACAGTGTCACAAGGCAGCAAAGTGGGTGGCCCTGCCCTGGCGAATACCTAAGTCTCCACAGCTTACAACATAAAAGGTACACCAAGACAAAGAAATACAGACCATATGAAAGAACAAATCAAACTTCAGAAAAGAACTAAGCAATGAGGAAATAGTCAACCTATGAGATGCAAAGTTCAAAACACTGGTAATCAGGATGCTCACAGAAATGACTGAGTGCAGTTGCAAAATAAAGGAAGAAGTGAAGACTATACAAAGTGAAATAAAACAAAATATACTAGGAACCAACAGTGAAGGGAAAAAAACTGGGACTCAAATCAACAATTTACAACAAAAGGAAGAAATAAACATTCATCCAGAAAATAAATGAAGAAACAAGAATTCAAAAAAAATGACAGGCTTAGGAAGCTTTGGGACAAGTTTAAATGTTCCAATACTCAAATCAAAAGGGTGCCAGAAGGACAAGAGGAAGGAAAGAAATTGAAAACTTATTTGACAAAATAATGAAGAAAAACTGCCCCAATCTGGTGAAGGAAATACTCATGCAAGTCCAGGAAGGTCAGAGTCCCAAAGAAGTTGGACCCAGGAACACACCAAAGCACATCATAATTATATTATCCAAGATTAAATATAAGAAGAGAATCTTAAATGCAGCCAGAGAAAAGGAGAGAGTTACTTACAAAGGAGTTCCCATAACACTATTAGCTGATTTTTTTCTCAAAAGAAACCTTGCTGGCAAGAAGGGGCATTCAAAGTCATGAAAGGCAAGGGCCTACATCTAAGATTACTCTATCCAGTAAAGCTATCATTTAGAATGGAAGGGCAGATAAAGTGCTTCTCAGATAAGGTCAAGTTAAAGGAGTTCATCATCATCAAGCCATTATTATATGAAATGTTAAAGAGACTTATCTAGGAAAAGGAAGATTAAAAATATGAACAAGAAAATGATAACAAACACAACTATCAATAAATAAACCTAAAAAAAAGAACAACAACAAAAGAAAAATTAAGCAAACAACCGAAACAGGAAAAGAATCAGAGAAATGGAGATCACATTGAGGGTTATCAAAGGGGAAGGAGA